GTCCGATAGACAGAACATCATAGAAATATCGGGAATGCCGTTTGCAATTCATTGACATGTTGGAGGGGCTGTGAGCTTATGTTCAGCCCTGTGCAGTGACCCAGCAGAGAGAGAACCTGAGAACCATTTAAATCCCACTTGCACTTCCACTGAGCCTTAGTGGAGCTTGCCTGGCACTGCCTCCTGTGAATAGTCAGTTACGGTATGTCTAGACTACATGCCTCTACCAACAGAGGCAGGTAAAATAGGCTACCTGACATAGTGAACGAAGCGGGGATTTAAATATCCCCGGCTTCATTAAAATAAAAGTGGCGGCCACGCTGTGCCAGCACAGCGCGACCACCATTTTTATTTTAATGAAGCCGGGGATATTTAAATCTCTGCTTCGTTCACTATATTGGGTAGCCTATTTTACAAGCTGCTGTCGGTAGAGGCATGTAGTCTAGACATACCCTTAGAGTACGTCTACAGAGCAGTGTTGTTTTGGAATAACCTAGTCCTCATCTACACTACAAACAGTTATTTTCGACATAATGTCAAAATAACGTCAAGCTGGAGGACTTCTTACTCTGACTCCTGTAACCTTTGTTTTGCGTGGAGTAAGGGAAGTCAGAGGAAGAATGCTCTTTCTCGGACTTCTTGCTGCATAGACAGTGCCAAAAGCTGAAATAATCTATTTCAACTTGAGCTATGCAATTGACATAGCTCAAGTTGTGTAGCTTTTTTCGGCTTTAGCCCTGCTGTCTAGATGTGCCCTTAGGTTAAAACCTGTCCATTGCTTTGTCCTTAGGCAAAATTCCCAATGACTTCAATGGGAAGTTGTCTCCAATGACGATTCAAGACTTTGGACCTATATCATTTATTTTCTTTTTGATATTTCCTGCTTGCTTTGGGGGTAGGTAACATCATTTGGACTCAGTCTAGGAAAGCACCCCTACTGAAGACAGAATTTAGATGCTTAGGTCTTTTACAGAATTGGGGCCTCTACCAATGTTAGGGTGTGAAACTTGGGCATCTCTAGTGTCCTTTAATACCTTTTCTTTTTTGTATTTTGCCTGTACTTGAAAATAAGGTTCTGAACACATTGCCTGACAATAGTTTCAGTGGAGGCAGATGCTGTATAGTCTCCCATGTACATTTCTATTTGTGCAACTTAGTACTTCATTGTGGCTTTTCCAGCTCATTATTTCTTCCTTGACTGCTCAACTAATCATGTTAAACTATGCAACATTGTTTTATTCATGTAAGTTAACTAATGTTTCAATTTTCAACAAATTTTATGTTAATCGGGGGAAATGCTGAAATTTGCTTTTGGGTAAAATAAGAATTGATTTAGTTAAATCCGTGCAACTCTGAAATAGACACATATTATTGATTTGTCTTGAGTCTGTAAATTAATCAGTACAAAATAAATCTCTGTAAGCCAAGATTAAATTGATATGAGCGCCCACATAGAAAGTTGCACCATAATAATAAAAAGGTTTCCGTTAGAACGTGTTAACTTATTTCAGTTTGTTTGTATTTACCAGCCCTCAGAACATGCTAAGCTCTACAGCAGGGCTACTCAAGTTTGAAAGCCCCAGGGGTCACAGTGATACTCACAGCACATGTTGAGGGCCACAACTTAATTGTGGTTGCATACACATGCAAATGTATATGCAAATTGCTTCTTTCACACTGACGGGCATAAATACAAAGATTAAGCTTTAAGCCGCAGTGCCGGACCCAAACATGGCCAGTGTGAGCCAGTCAGCACCTCTCAGGTTCTGCCCACAAGGCTAAGCAGCCAGCACTTCCCACAGTGCTCCTGGCACCTACTGCCTGGGAGTTAGAAATGCTGATGCCCTGTACCTGTCTGTGCCAGCCAAGTCCGTCTGCTTGCGCCTTTCAGTGCTCACCCCGCCCGGAAGACATCTTGCCATTGTGCAGCGTGTTCCCAGTGGAAGCCATGTTCAAAGGATCCTACCCACGTAAACCCAAATTACACCACGGGCTGCAAACAAATGGGCCATGGGTTGCATGTGGCCCATGGACCTCGTGTTGAGTAGCCCTGCTCTACAGCATATTTTTCTGCCAGTATGTTTTGGATTAGTGTGGTCTTTGTAGTTCAGAGGACACTGCATTAATTAGTGTAGCAGGTGTTTGTTTAAATTCTTCTTTTTAGGTGTAACCTTTTGTTTGTTTGGGGATTTATTTTTTAAACACAGCACACCATTTTATAGGTCATATGTGGATCAATCCCTCTCCCAAGATGTTAAACTTCCAAAATTGTGTGTTGTGCATGCAGAATAATATTTTTGCACCCATTTTTCTACCCTAAGCATTGTGTATTATGTTCCTGCGTTTTGATATAATACATGTTGCTAACCATCTAAAGAGCTGTAATAATACCAGTTGACATGATCCAGTGCAATGCCTCTGGACCAATTCAGTCTGTGTGAATACATTGTATGTTTTAATGCAGATGTAATATTTTTCTTGTAATAGTGTATATGTATTACATATAGTTATGTGCAAAACTGTATAAAAATTCTAAGTGAATTCCATTGAGATAATGCCATATGGGTATGTCTACACTACCACCCTAGTTCGAACTAGGGTGGTTAATGTAGTCATACGAACTTGCAAATGAAGCCCGGGATTTGAATTTCCCGGGCTTCATTTGCATGTTGCCAGGTGCCGCCATTTTTAAATGTCCACTAATGCGGACTCCGTGCCCGCGGCTACACGCGGCACAAACTAGGTAGTTCGGACTAGGCTTCCTACTCCGAATTACCTGTACGCCTTGTTCCATGCCTCAGAATAGGAAGCCTAGTCCGAACTACCTAGTTTGTGCCGCGTGTAGCCGCGGGCACGGAGTCCGCATTAGTGGACATTTAAAAATGGCGGCACCTGGCAACATGCAAATGAAGCCCGGGAAATTCAAATCCCGGGCTTCATTTGCAAGTTCGTATGACTACATTAACCACCCTAGTTCGAACTAGGGTGGTAGTGTAGACATACCCATAGAGAGTTAAAACTACATTTTATGGTTTTAATTTGATATTATGTATTCCTAAATTTCTTTTGATAATTTATTAAATTGTGCAGTGTGGTGGTAAATCTAATCAAATGGTTGCTAACAGCCACTTTTGAAAATGTATTTCATTCTTGCATCCTCCATTGGTAATGGAGCAGCAGTATTTGCACGTGTCTAGTTTAATTCTTTTTTTTTTTTTAATTTTCAAGAATTTTTTAAACCTCTATTTTTGCTGTTATGTGTCTGCTGAGGTGTGGGGATGTGGACGACTAGTCGACTATCTGATAAGCAAGTGCTTATTGGATAGTTGACAGGGAAGTCAGTTAGTTGCTCCCCCCGCTCCTTGCTGCCTCTATCAGAAAGAGGCAGCAAGTGGGAGAGGGAGAGGAAGAGGTGCTTCAAAGCGGCAGCATCCTGTGGAGCCTAGGGCCAGACCCCAGGCTTCACGTGGCACTGCTGCTTTGAAACACGGTGTGCAGCCTGGGGCCAGCTGGGGTGTCCCCAGTCTGCACCCAGCGTTTTAAAGCGGCAGTGCCATGTGGAGTCTGGAGAGTCTGGAATCGGCTGCAGACTCCCCTGCTTTGAAACACTGTGGGGGACCTAGGGTCAGGCTCCAAGCAGCGTTTCAAAGCAGCGTGGACGACTAGTCGACTATCTGATAAGCAAGTGCTTATTGGATAGTTGACAGGGAAGTCAATTAGAAAGAGGCAGCAAGTGGGAGAGGGAGAGGAAGAGGTGCTTCAAAGCGGCAGCATCCTGTGGAGCCTAGGGCCAGACCCCAGGCTTCACGTGGCACTGCTGCTTTGAAACACGGTGTGCAGCCTGGGGCCAGCTGGGGTGTCCCCAGTCTGCACCCAGCGTTTTAAAGCGGCAGTGCCATGTGGAGTCTGGAATCGGCTGCAGACTCCCCTGCTTTGAAACACTGTGGGGGACCTAGGGTCAGGCTCCAAGCAGCGTTTCAAAGCAGCGGCACTGCATGGAGTCCAGGGTCAGTGGGGGAGTCCCCAGCCGACCCCAGGCTCCATGCGGCGTTGCCACTTTGAAATGCTGCGGGGAGCACAGGGCCAGTGGGGAAGTGCTTGAGTTCCCTGCTGACCCCATGCTCCCCGAAACACTTTTGCCTTTGAAGTGTAGCAACAGCCCTAGGGATGTTGCTATACTTCAAAGGCAGAGGCACCCTATGGAGTAATTGAATAGTTGATGCAATTTAATTGACTATTTTATTAATCAGTTAATCAAAATTTGTTCATACACCTCAGTAGAGATATTTAAGTAGAATGGCCTATTCATCTACATGCTAATTAGAATATTTTTTTAATTTATCTGTCTTTTATCACCTTTTAAAAATAAAACTCAGAAGTTGTCTTAATCCCCAGATCCTTACCATCGTACATAATAATAGGCTCTTTTTTGGAATCTGTTTTTTCAGGAGGTAAATTCTGAATGGGACTCCCTTCTAGTCCCTAAACACGGCTACTCTATCAGTTACAGAAGTTACTCTTAATCTGCACTAGAAACTATCTGCTGCTCTCTAGGGACTGTGCATGGTGTCTGTGTATTACTCTCAGCATCTGCCATCCCAGCCAGGGACTGTATTGTTAATGTTACAGCTTAATCGTCAAGTCTTAATGTATTATTATTTTTTGTGCTAGTTTTGGACCAATTGAATACAAGGGCCCTATGAGTGCTGTTTATATAGAAAAGTTTGTTCGCCGGGTGATGACACCGCTACATTACATCTCGTCTCGATCAAAATTACTAGATTTCCTCTCAGATTATGAGGTACTTGTCTCTCTTGTCTGGTTTTACCATTTGTGGTTCTGAAAGGGTTTGTTTTGTTTCAGGATTAAATCTGACCTTATCCAAATCAGTAATTTCTTTCTTTCAGTGCATTCAAATGTTGTGACAGTTACAATACATGTGAAATGATAGGCCTGTAATCTGAGTCCTGCTGCCCAGGACAAAAGCCTAAGGGTAACTGCTGGAAACTTACACAAACTCATAGCGTTTTCTAGTTGTGTCCTATTAATAGGACACATTTCCATAAAGAATATGTCATGCCATGTCACAAGGTGCACAAAGGAGATGTACAGTGGACGGTTTTGCTCTTTTCACTTTTCTTGGCCTGTATGCAGCGGAAATCTTAAGTCTTCAGTTGATCTTCCAGCCCTTAATCTGTACTGTGACTGATTTGAAGAAAATGAAATGCAACTATTACCTTTCATCAAAATTAAGAACACAATCTATCTGGAGCACAAGAACCCAACAAAGAGCACCTAAGTGAGACTTGAACAAGGTACAGCCAACAAGCAGATGCAAGATCATTACTGGATCAAGCTCTGTAAAGAGATGCAGACAGCCTCAGAAACTGGAAACCTCAAACTTGTATGTGAGAGCCTGAAGATAGCTCTGTCTCAACGTCAACAAGGTTGCCTCCCTCAAATTGCACAGTGCAGTTTGAAGGCAGGAACCTTCTTTTGGTTTGAACACTATTCAGCATATAGGCACAAGAAAGAAACAGCACCAGCTAATCACTGGACCAAATACTAAGTCTACAGGTCATGTCAGTTATGGAGCCCACTGGAGACAAGCTAAGCAAGGCCATTGATTTGCTATCAAGTGGTGAGGATCCTGAAAAAGATGGCATACCAGCAGAAATCCTCAAGTATGGAAAAGACAGCCTATTACCATATCTCTATCAGCTGCTACTTAAATACTGGAAAGAGGTGACCTCAAGAGATGTGTGACACAAACATCATGACTTTATATAAATATAAGGGTGAAAAGGGTAACTGCCACAACTACAGGGTATCTTGTTACTCAGTTTGGAAGGAAAAGCTTTCACAGAAATCAGCTTAGTGCACCTACAACACACTGAGATGTCTACCCTGAAGGTACATAAAGCAGTTGCATTTCTTCATGCAAGCCTGTGTAATCCTTAGGATTTCGTAGTACTCAGCAGATCAAGAGATAATCTTAATTTGTGATGCTTGATTCTTCTTTTGCTTTTTGAGGCTATAATTGGCAAACTTTAGCTTTTTGTGTGGGGGCACCGAACATCCTCTTTAACTAGGGATGTTCATGGGTAACTGGTTAACTGGTTACCTGGTATGCATCACTTTAACAACTGATGCTTACTGGTAATGGTTAGCAGTTTTCTGGGAAGAGTCTTCCATGGGTGGGGTTTCTGGCTCTTAGCCTACAGGAGCTCATGGCCTGGGAACTGGCAGCCCTCCCACCCTGCTGCCACTTAAGCCCCAACAGCCCTCACCACTTCCAACCCCCCACTCCCCATGCAAGGCTGCTGACTTCCAGCCCCTCCCCTGTTTAACTAGTTATGAGATTTAATTAACATATGTCAGGTGCTTTGATATCTTTCAGTGGAAGAAGCCATAGAAAATATTTTTTTAAAATAATATTTGACAGTTAAACATAATGTATATATTTTCAGTGAAAATTCAGACTCTTTGCTCTCCTACTTTCAAAGCTCTCACCTTGAAAGCTTTCAGTGTCTTTGCAAACTGACTGTGTATTTTAGATCTGGCACATTCTCTTACTCTGTTTTTATAGACAGACGTTATAACAGAGAAAACATATTGTTGTTAGTTCCCATGTAAAGTGGACTAAGAAATGTCTACTTTGTCTCCAGCTGAATATTCTCCAGCTGCTGTGTCATCTGGCCAATGACTCCTGCCAGTACTAAGACAACTTTAATAGTAAATAGGAGGCAGAGAGAGAAACAGGAGCCAACTGCAGCAGCTAGAGCATTGGTGAGATTTAAGCTGCCAGCCACAAGTGGGAGAGCCAAGGGAATTGGGCAACGATGGCAAATGTTTAGTTAGTGAGGAGAGAGCAAGTGTTAAAGCAGAGGGTGAGAGGAACAGATCAGTTAGAAGGGGAAGATGAGTTTAAAAGCAAAAGTAAATGTTGTGATTCAAATTTTGTTACATTAAAAGCAGTAAAATATATCTAATTTTCTAAAATTGCTTTTCTGTGTAAAGCCAGGAACAATGTGCATTATGAATGGGAGAACATGAAATTATGGGTCCCTGAAATTATTTGAATTGAGATGATGATCCCTCTGTCCTGAGGCCTCCGTGTTTTGGATTGAAAATCAGGAAACGTGCAGAAAATAAACTACTGGTGATTTCTATAGACTTCCCCTACAGCAGTTTATTTTTGACTAACCTTTTGTATTGAACCTCATCTTTTACATGAAGAAATATTAGTTTATAATAATTAAAAAAACCTAAATATTTATCATGACTGATCAGCAGTCATTCTGATTTTCAGCTTTTTATAGCTAGAACTCAACCCCTGCAATGTGCGTCTTGTAACAAGAAGTCTGAAAAGACAATTTGCTGTTAGTTATTCTTTCACTTATCTCATTGATCTTACTTTATGAGAAACATAGGACAATTCTCAGAATGCCATTTCATTTCTCATATGACAAAACAAAAAAGATTTAAACTGTTTCTGAGCAGAATACTTGTATTTTTTCCTATTGTGCTAGGGGACACATTTTTGTAAGGGACTGAACTGGTATAAAGAACATCAGAAGTGAAATTCTTCAAAATTAAATGTACAAAACATTTTTGATTTAACATGTTGGAAAGGACGTAGAAAACTTTGATGATGATATCATTTCATTTTGACATTTACCTCTTTCCGCTTCTTTTAACTATTGATGAGTAGAATGCTTCTTCAAATCATGTGACTGTATGGAAATTTAAGATAAAAATGGCAAGTGGTTGGGAAAGTGACATAGTACTGTATAACAAAAATAGATATTAATAGATTGAAAAGTTATACTTAATGCCACAAGAGGGCATACAAACCCTGTGATAAAATATCTGGTGAGAAAATAATAAATTTTCCCAAGTTTGAATGTGCTGATTCTGCTTTCCTTAACACTAGTATTAAACTGTTGAGGGTAGCAGCAGAGTTACATTATTGTAAAAGTATCTTGAGATCAGAATTGGAATTGTTTGCAAATTAAAATTCTCAAAAAACAAGAAAACAAATCTAGTAAAACAAAGCATAATGAGCTGAAATATTTTCCAGTATCTTAAGTCCAAGCTGTTTATGCCCCTTCATTTGACCTTTATTGTGATTGGTGAGTGTGTAGTTCATGAACATCACAAATGACAGCGTGCCAGAATTTTTACACACTTCAAAAGAATGGTAGGGAGCTGCACCCCCTGCTCACTATGTTGGCCACCCCTCCATCTATCCACCACATCTGGATCATGCCCTCCCCTCCTATCCGTGCCGCAACAGAAAGGGGGCTGCCACTAGCTGTTCTTGCAGCCAGATGGGGGCTGGACCATGGGGACTGCCCCAGGATTGGAGCCGGGGACAGAATGCTGTGGCCAGATGGGGGTTGGGCCCTGATGGGGCAGGGTGTATGGTTGAAGAGAGGGGTCAGGAGCAGGCTGGGCGCAGGGTGTCTGTTCAGGAGGGAAGGGGGCAGGAGCGAGCTAGGGGCAAAGTGTCTGGCCAGCCCAGAAGAGGAGAGAGCCAGTGCCCAGGGAGCACACGTGGATTGCTTGAGTCTGGTGGCATCTGCATGTGGGCAGGTGAAGGGGGGGCAATAGCTGCCTGTGGCAGACTATCTCCCTTCTCAATGGGGAAGATGGGGCTGGCCCCTTCTAGGGGCAGTGAATGCAGGGGCGCCTAAGGCCATAGAGACTCGTCGCTCGGGAGAAAACTTTCCCTTTTGGCTCCCATCAGTTAGCATTGTGATCTCCACCCCATGTGTGGGGGCTACTCGTTATCCTGTCTCTCCAATGCTCCCCCCACTGCAGCCACTGGGTCACGGAGTGTCGGGGCCCCAGACCTGGAAGTAGAAGTGGGGCCGGAGGCAGCTACTGCCACAGCCTTCTGACCTATTGCAGGGAAGCTTGGGGCCAGCGCAGATTCCGAGGAAGGGTCGGGGGGGAACCCAGAGCCATGGCCACCGCTTCCTCTTCTGAGTCTGTAGGGGGGGGTTACATGATTATGTGTCTGTTGTCCCACCAGAAAAAAAAATTATATATAGAGATAAAACTTCTGCTTTCTTCCCAAAGTGGGAGCAGCATGACTTATTTTGTTTAAAGGAACAGCTGTCCTTGTAGGCTGTTTATTCTTAAACTAGCTTCCAGCTTTTTTCCTTAGTTTAAGATTTTGTTTTGAAGCCTCCTTTGACTATCTGTACCTTCTGGGTACTTTTCCAGAACCATTCTTGTCTTTATAGATTATGTAGTTTGTTGGTAATATCTCACAAACAGTATCTAAGAAGGATCACAAGTAGGGAATACTTTATGGGTTTTAAATGTGGGAGTTAAAGTCCTCAAGGGAAGCCTCAGTGTCTGGGCAATCATGTGTAAATAGCCTTTTGTCCTTAAGTCTTATCAGTCGTTGGTCTGGAGAAGTCACATATCCACCCCTAGTGGCCAGGTGTCTGCCCATGCAAAAAGGGAATCTTTAAAAACAATAGGAAAGTAGGAGTCTTTTGTCTGGCTTGTGTGTCATACCCAAGGGAGGGAACCACAGACTCCAGGGAAAAGGTAACTTCCCTGGTTTGGCTGGGAAAGAAACAGTTTTAGGATGAGTTTGTAGTAAGTTTGTACTGGAGTTTTAGTGTAGAAGTCACTAAGCATTTTCTGTTATTTTGAATTTGTACTCTACTTTGCTCTGTCTGTTCTCACCTAATACCACTTAAATCCTATGACTTGTACTTAATAAAATCACTTTTGTTTTCTATCAAGGTCAGTGTTAATAGTTATTACCTGGGGGAGCAATCTGTGTACATTACCCCTTTCATTGTTAGAGGGGGCTTATCCAAATAATTCATGGGGGTTTTGATCTCATTTGGGGAATGGCATCCCAGGAAGCTGGGCCCAAAACTGCATTTTCCTTGGACTTAAAGAGAATCAGTGTCTGTATTGCTTCTGGGAGGAGGGTGTGTTCTCAGCTCTGTACCTTAGCTGAGTGGAGACCAGGGAGCTGGCCCAGCAGGACAAGGTGGCACCTAGGCCACTCTAGCCACGCCTTTGGGATCCCAGTTAAGCAGTTAATCAGGATATTACATCCCTATTTCCAATGTGCATTACTTTGCATTTGTCAGCATTGAATTTCATCTGCCATTTTCTTACCCAGTCACCCAGTTTTGTGAAATCTCTTTGTAACTCTTCACAGTTTGCTTTGGACTTGAAAGTGCTTTTCCAGTCATGGGCCTTGTTTGCCTGTCAGGCATGCCAGCTTGTCTTGCGTGAGTGTGTACGAGAGAGAGAGAGGGAGATGGACAACCTTTGTGTTTTTGGGACGTGGACAAGATTACTTAACTCGTTTTCAGCTGTACTTTAAGGCAGAATTTGAAATGTGACATCTGATTTTTTTTCGCTTAAAAGTTATTTCACTATGAAAAGTGGATTCACAGAAATCTTAATGTATCCTATGACAGTGAAATGAATAGTGATAACCACCCACATGTAGAACATATAAGTTAATATTTCACATTAATGTTAACAAGATGCATATAGTGTTCATTTTTAAAAAGGTAACTTTTAAACTTGCTTTGTAGCTTTTTGTTTAGATAGTGTAGTTATCAATCAAAGTGTGAACTAGAATCCTACATTTTAGGTCAATTTCTGTATAAGTGTGATGAATTGCTTGTTTTATCTGAAAATGCAAATATAAATAAGTTCGAGGACATCTATATTACATTCTCAGCTGTCTTCTCTCGTACCTAAGTTCTAAGAATCGCTCCTACACTATTATCACATATTGAAAGTCTGACAAACCAGTACAAGTCTTATTAATGTAAAATATCCCCAAGTAATATTTTTTAATTCTCTAGCCATCTCAGTAAAAATGCAGGGTTTCTCTTCATTTTTAATTGAAGAAACCTGAGAATTTTGAGCTTACTTCTTACACACCTATCATTAATATATTTTTATTGGGCTACCATTCATGCTTCATATCTCCAGCAAAGGCAGTGTGATCTGCAGTCTTTGCCTATGCTGATGTGATAGTATTCTTCCCACCCTCAACCCAGTTTCTATTTAAAAAAATTTCTCTCTCTTTTCTGGAGATCACAAATCCTTTTTATCTCCAATTATCTGGTTGCCCAATGAAATAATATATTTCCTTTTTGTGAAAATGCAAATAGAATCTGGATTTCTCACTTTTGTTTTTGATAAATCAGTCTCTCACTGGTTTCTGTAGCAACTCATGAAAATCTCACATGACTGATAGCTTCCCAGTGTGAAAGAGACTGGCAATCATACAGAAGATTCATTTATGGATGTGAATCATGCATAGTATAGTAAAAACTTAAAGAAAACCAAGAATTTTTTGTTGAAAAAGGGTTACTGTTGGCTTCATTGTACAGGATCACATTACATTTCAAATCTCAATTTCAAAAGAACCCAGTATGGTGTAATGTAGATAATCAAGTATTCTATCAACATGATGGTGATGAAGCTTGACTCCTGCAGTTATTTTAAATTACTGCCATTTGCATAGAGACTAATATAACAACTAACGTGGAAATTATGCAACTGTTTCTGCATGTACATGAGCTTTGTCTTGTGCACATTTTCCAAATTTTAGCATTGAATGATGTTTTTTTCTTTTCTTAAAATTCCGTTTTCTTGCATAGTAAAATGGCTAATTTGCCTTTCTAAAAAATAACGAAAATAAACCATCAATGTTTAATCTGTTATGGTTTTTACTATAGTGTACTTTGTAATAGTTTAGCTAACTCTAATTCTTATTCTTGTAGCCTGGAGTTCTGGGATATTTTGAGTTCAATGCTTCACCTCAGCCTCCTGGTTATATGACATTCTTCACATCAGCATTATATTCATTAAAGAAAGGTAAAAGCTTTATTTTCAGATTTTTAAGAGATCTTTGCAAATAGTTTACATAAGTTAACTTCAGTCCTTATCTGAAATACTTTTGTAATTTGAGCATTACAGCCCTTAGCATTGGTCTGACAACTAAGTCATGTATTGCTTTGTTAACCATCAGTCAATGAGTTAACGAGAAATACAAAAATATTTGGACAGACAGAATGGAACAAAATACATAGTGTATTTATCCTTGGTCACATTTTCATAACACAATAAATATGTAATCTTCATTATGTATACAGTTTACTCAATATAACAAGCAAGTCTTGTTTGCCAAGTCTCTCCCCATTATTAAAGGAACTGCAATTCATGTTTCATATCACGTTTCCTTGTCTAGTATTTGGGTACAGAAGTACTCAAAAATAATATAACTGTTGTGTGATTTTTGCTTAATTTCACTACAAGTACATAAGAACGGCCCTACTGTGTTAGACCAAATGTCCATCTAGCCCAGTATCCTGTCTTCTAACAGTGGCCAATGCCCAGATGCCCCAGAAGGAGTGAACAGAAGAGGTAATCAGCAGGTGATTCCCTCTCCTGTCATCCATTTCCTATCTCTGACAAAACAGAGGCTTGGGACACCATTCTTTCCCATTTGATGGAACGCCATGAATCTATTCAGCTCTCTTTTGAACCCTTTTAAAGTATGTAAAGTCATAGTCTTCACAACAGCCGCTGGCAAAGTATTCCATAAATCGAAGCAGTAAAATTATTTGGTGCATTTTTTATTTTAGTATCTGAAGATTATTTTAAATGTTATTCTGTTCCTGTTAAAGCTTTTTAAGTACTGAACATTTTTGCCACATTTCCTAAGAGCAGAAGCAATAATGTCACAATGAGCTGGCCTCCACAGTTGAACCATTAGTCTCTTATTTCTGTGTACATTGTAGAGAAAAATTCGCAGAACATTCTCACATTTAAAATGCTTCATCTCTGACACAAGTAATCCTATACTAAGAATAAATAGTGTAAAATATAATTACAGAATATCTTAAAGATTATTCTTTGTTTTCATGTTTGCAGACTGAAAATGTCATAGTGGTTTTTTTTTTTAAGATGTAGCAAACATGGTATCTGGATAATTTCTTGTCAAATATTGTGGTAATGCTAAATACAACTTACATAGATGCTTATCTAGTTTGTTACAGACATTACATTACACTTTTCATGAGAGTGTTGGGAGAATTAAATAATATTGATCCCACTTCATATGTTGGGGACCTGTGGCATAAAGAAATGGAATAGCTTGTCCCCTGGATTTGCTCGTCCTGAATTGCTGAATAAGCAGTTCAGTGGCAAAACTTGTCATAACAGAGTAGTCCCAGTTTTGAGTTTGACATACTATTAATTAGTCATGCTTTGAGACCCAATCCTTATTTTATATTTTTAGTTTTCCTCAATAATGCACATCAATAATTTGTGTTTTAAAATGCTGAGGAAGACAGATTGTCTTATTTTTGCAGGTTGAGTAATTATTTTGTTAACTATCTTGTGATGGGTTTGATCACAGCAGTCCCCTTGGGATTGTCACCGTCACCTCACCTGGTGTGTTGATTAAGCCCCTGAGCCTGCCTTCCTGCCTTGTGGGGCTCCCTACCACTCTGTTTTTGCTGGGCCAGGAGCTCTGGTCTCCCCCAGCCAAGGCAGAGTTAGGGTTACTGCCCTCTTGCAGAGCAACATGGACATTGACCAACTCAGGTCTGGAAGGACTCAGCCATAAGGTCGCTGATACGACCCAGGAAACCAACCCCCAAAAGGGACCAAAACCTCAAATAAATCTGTGTTACCCTGTGTAAGAGTTTTACACAGATCAAGCTATAAGTTCAGCTACCTTAATCAAAAAAAATGCACAGTGGTTGCTTCCCCCCCTTGTAAAAATTATTTATAATGGGCTTGATAATAAACAAGTGCTTTTATTAAGTACAAATAGGATTTAAGTGGTTGCAAATGAAAATAGTCAGATCAAAGTAAGTTACCACATTAAAAGAAACTAAAGATACTAGCTAATTCTAATACACTAAGAAACTTGATATGTGCTCATTATTACCCTAAATAGTTGTTCTTATCTCAGATAAAATGCTTCAAGTCAGAGTTGATCTTTATTCTGACCTGGGTCTACAGCTTTTCAGAGTCCTTTGTTTTCAGGTTTCTTCATGTCTATCCTCTTAGGGTGGGCAGGCAGTTATAAAGGCCTGATTGCTTGCCATTCCTTGAATAGGCTTTCCCTCAATAAGGGAAACCTTTATTCAGTCTCTCCATCAGCATGGAAAATTACTAGATTCAAAATGGATTTCAGTACAAGGTGGCATGGTCACATGTCTTTCTAGGACCAACCACAGTTTAGGCTTACAGAAAAAACAAAACCATTCACAGGTTATTGATTTGATCACCGAGCTGTTAAGTTTCTAAAGTATTACTGACGGCCCTCCTTAGTACATTTAGAATTAAAACCGCATTCACACTTCGTATTCCTAACTTTACATACCAAAATTCATGAACAAAAATAGGATATATAGATTCTGCAGATTGTAACTTTTGAAATTGTTACACGATCTGTTTTGCATAAAGCATCTTTAAGTTAGGCATATTCATTTTCATCAACCAATTTTCATAAAGCATGGCAGGGAGGGTAACACATTGTATGTGTTTTGTCATAAAATGCATGCAAACCCAGGTACCTTATGGTTTTCACTAGTCAGATGTGTACAGGGCAGCTAGTGCACCACACTTCAGAGCACTTTTTAGATTATATCTCTTTATTCTCTCAGATTGTTCAGAAGAATCATGCTGCCATCTTTAGCACACATTATCACAGTAAGGTTTAATCTATAAGGTATTATGGTGGGATAGCATTGTGGGAGGAAGAAGCTGATGGTTGCTCTATAGCATGTAATCCTACTTGAGCTGATTCTACAAAGTACAGAGGATGCCATCTTGTAGGATCAGATCATTAATGAGTTAATTATGGACAACTGCTTTGTTGTAACATCACATTTTTGTTCAACTGAAAAATTAGTGTTATGAATATTTTTTTATTATCCAAATGTATAATTATAAAATTATGTTGTGTGTCATTCAGCCTGATTCTTTTGGCCACCAGTGTGTGTTCAGGCCGTGCCTACAGTCTACTACCTTGCCACAGCCACACCGAAGGCAGTACAAATGGAATGGGCCCTGCCATTCCTCAGTTTCTTCGTATTGATTATGCCAATGAGACCAAACTCATGCAGTGTTTCCTTTTCTGTGTGTACTGTGCTACTGATATTAGTTCGTAATCTTACCATTTAGGTGGCTGTTAGTTAATTCATTCTTCTAGTTACTTAGATTAAGAAGATTTTTCCTAAAAAATAAATAGATTTCAGCTTTGGTTTCCTCAATACAAAGTGCCTTGGTGAATTGGAGCTTTGGTACCTACCATCTCTGTACCCCTGATGGATAATTATCAGTTTGTTTAATTGGATCCATCCTTTGCACTATGTGCCTGAAAGCAGGTTGGATCTGAGCAGTATTCAGTTACTATTCCCAATTCTGGTCCTTCAAGGAACACATTTTGATGCAGGCCTCCTGTGTGGTCACTTGTCAGCCCTCCACATTTGCTTTTGTATGTTTCTTCCAAAATCCATCTCAGATTAGATCTATGCTGGTGGAGAAAATCAATGCAAGATACGCAACTCCAGCTATGTGAATTGCTTAGCTGGAGCCGAAGTACCTTGCACAGATTTTCTGGGGCAGCCCCACAGTGGGATGTCAGTGGGAGAAATGTTTCTGTCAACTTCTCTTACTTCTTGCCACAGTGAGGAGTTCTTGCACTGACAGGAGTGCCCTCATGGTTTGATTTAGTGGATATTTACTAGACCCGCTAAATCAAACCCTAGAGGATTGATCGCTAGAGTGTCAATCCTCCGGCAAGTGGAGATATGGCTATAGTAGGAATTCTGCTTTATAGTTGAACTCTTTTGGAGGACCACATGGTAGGTGAAGCAAGGAACATAGGCTTTGCTCAGGGCTTTATAAAATCACAAGAACAAAGCATACAAGAGTTACAGATCTTTAGGCAAATCAATAAAAGCCTGTGTGGTGTTCCCCTGGGATCACCGCTTCTGGTGAGTTCTTATCTAGTCTGTATAGTAGGTAGATTAGCCCTTTCAGAACTCTGCCCCATGTGTTCCCTTTTTATTTGTCTGCTGAGAGAGTTGGGACACTGGGTAAGCCTTGCTCTTAAAGTTTCCATTCCATTCATGCTGACTTCCTGACCAGCTTCATAGCCCCCAACTCATATTTAAAGTCTTACTTTCACCCGAAGACAAACTGGAACAACTAGTTTCCTTTAGTTTGGCCACACTTTTTGCTCGTTTGTTCTGACTGTCTCTTTGGCAATTCTTGTGTTAGTAGCTTCATGGAAATGTGATGCATTAAAATAATCTGCCTCGGTCTATTCTTGTCATTTCTAGGCAATCACAGCTACACACTCAAAATTCAAGTCATGTTCTTCATAATAGTGGTTACAATGTCAAGGAAAGGTCAGAGTTGATACAGACATATCACTACATCTCACTGACCTCTCCTCCCCCCCCCCCCCCCCCGCATCCCTCTTCTGTTCTGAAATGTGATTTGTCCTTTTCATATGTGCAAGACAGTACAGACAGAATGGTCCATCCCTTAGAGGACATTTGCTCCTATTCATCCCCATCTAGACACATCAGGAAGTCATCTTCCATTCACCTCCCCCTCCTGGTGCTGTACAACGGAATCAGGAAGAGACTGTTAGGGAAAATTCTAGAACTTTTCCTATTACTACTTATGGGACTCAGGGAGAACACCCCCCGATAGACTCCTCATGTGTTCTGTACTTCAGTACTCATATTCCTACTCACGGGACACTGTCCTTTGTATGTGGGAACATCACAACATAACATGTGTTCTTGTGCCTGTGAGTAGCAAGGAGGGCAGCTGTGAGGAGCTCAGTCCATACCTTTAAAAGACACTTTCTTTGGTAGGTTTCCAGACCAGATCTCTCTTTTGGTCAGGGGCAATGAGTGCAAATGCCCCAAAACACATTGATGGGAGGGACTGTCCAGTAGCTGGATGGGTCACTGGTGACAGGAAGGGGGCCCCCCAGCGACCGCTTGAGGGTATGGCCCCTCCACACTCACCAGCAGTAGCAGAGGAAGCAGTGCAAGGTGGTTCTTCTGCTTTGTTTTCCTGGCTGCCACTGCACTCCCTGGTGGGAATGGAGCAACACAGCAGCCAAGGGAGCAAAGTAGTGGACCCGCCTTGTTCTGCTTGTCCCATGGCTACCAGTGAATGTGGGGTGAGGGGAGACGGTGGACCACAGGTGCCAGTGCTGCTAGTTCCACAGGCTGCCTCAGTTGGGGGAAGAGACGGGATGGGGGTGGATCAGAGTTGGGGAGTGGCAGGGCCTGGGTGGAAGTGGATTTTCCTTGCCCTTCCCTTACCCAGGCTGGGGTGGGGAGCGAGGGTCACTTGTCTGGTAGCCCCTGAGGTTCCCTCTAACCAGTCACCTCTGCTTTTGTTAGAGCTTATGACAGGTTGGGTCACAGAGATCCCCTTGAGATTGTCACCTGATGGGCTGATCAAACCACTGAGTCCACCTACCTCTGTCCTCGGAGGTGCCCCACCACTCCCCCAGCAAAGGCACAGGTCTGGGGTTAGGGATGTTCAGTTGCAATTAATTAGCTGATTAAGTAGTTGATGGAAATTCCATCAACTACTCAAATAGATGTTGGGGGCGAGCTCACTACCCCCACTGTGGCTCTGCAGTTTACATGTAGTAGGAGCTGGGCACACAGGCAGCTCAGCTCTTATTACTTTTAAACTGAAGAGCCGCAGTGGGGTTAGCTCCTGGGGCTGGCCGTCTTGCGCCGGCTCCGGGACCACTGTGGCTCTGCCTCTCCTACTAGCCCCCTCGCCACGGAGGTGGTGCTGGGGGGAACCGGCTTTAAAGCTGTCTTACCCCAGCACTGGCTTCTGCTTCCCTGCCATGCCTCCCCCTGCTGCCTCTGACGCAGAGGCAGCGGGGTAGGGGGAAGTGTGTAGTCGAATAGTCGACTACTTCCACAACTACGGATTTAAGGAAATAGACTTCTAGCAGAGTAACATAGATACTTATAACAGCTCAGCTCTGGGAGTGCTCAGTTACAAGAACTTGACAGCATCCAAGAGCACAGCCCCAAAGGGAACAAAGCCACAAATAAATCCATCTTACTCTGTATAAAAGTTTTTTAAACAGAAAGCTCATAAAATTCACTCCCTTTATCAATGAAAGAAAGATATGCTCATCTGTTTTCTTCCCACGCCTAGGTAACAGTTATTTACATTGGATTTGATAATATACAGAAGTGATTTTATTAAGTATAAAAAGTGAGATTCAAGTGATTGTAAGTTATAGATGAAAATAAGTTACTAAACTAAAACAAAACAAAACAAGCCAGCTAAAATTAATACAATAAGAGAAATTGTTAGAAATTATAGTTTCTCTCCCTAGTTTTCATTTCAGGTGAAGTCTTTTTAGGCCAGAGCTGTTCTTTCTGACTTGGGTTCAGCAACTTATCTCCATCCCTGTTGTTAGAGTACTTTTTTTTCCAAATGCTTTCATGTATTCTCTTGGGGCACAATCTGTGAAGGCAGCTGAAGACCTTCATCGTTTGCTTTCCTTAAATAGAATTTCCCGAGAGCAGGATGTCTTTTTTTTCCCATTCCCCCATTTGGAAAAATACCAAATTCAAGATGGATTCAAGCATCAGATGGCCTGGTCACATGTCTTTGTAGGACCACAGTTTAGGCTTACAGGAAAAACAAGACTATTCACAGATCATTTTCTTGAGCATAGGAGCCATTAAGTTCCATAAGTACCACTAATGGCTTTCACTAGACAACCTAGATTAATAAACAAAGGCTTGTACTTTGTATTTCTAACTTCACATAGAAGAAAGATACATGCTCACAAATAGAATGTACGCATTCAGGGGATTACAAGCTCCATTACTTGACCCATTTTGCATAAAGTATGCATATTCATATTCAGGACCATATTTCTGTGAAAGTATTGGGGTTGTATCACATAGTTGTCCTGCAGACATTGTTTGAGAAGGACTCCTACTACCCACCCACAAATAAAACTGTGAGTTCTAGATACTCACTTGAAGAAGAAAGAATGGTTGTATACTCTGCAATAAATGGTGTTTTTTGGAGACGTGTTGCTCGGACAGATTGCACAGCCTACCCTCTTCCCTTGCTCCTTTGGAATGCTACTCCTCCAGGAATCTTTACTGATGAAAGTGCTAAGACACGATTGGATTCACTCCACCATTTATGCCTTCAGGTGGGGGGAGGAGAAGGACAAGGAGCTAGGCTAGATAATCTGATGATTACTCATGACCATAAAATCAGTTATGTCCCCAGTAGAATCAGCTGGCCAAAAGAATCTGATCTGCACATGGGGCACATATGCACCATGTGTAATTGTGTGGACCACACATTTTTGAAGAAAATTATTGTTGGTTAAGTAATCATTTTATTTTGTATTAAATAAAAAGCCAGCTACTTTGTAAAAAGGATAACTGGCTTTATATCTGAAACAAAATACAGGACTATGTAGCACTTTAAAGACTAACAAGATGGTTTATTAGGTGATGAGCTTTCATGGGCCAGACCCACTTCCTCAGATCAAATTGTGGAAGAAAATAGGCATGACCATATATACCAAAGGGATACAATCAAAAAAAGTGAACACATGTAGCATGAGAGTATGGTACCTTCCATAACTCCCAGTGCCTCCGCCACAGAGGCACCAAGCGCATCTTCATTGCAATCGGCACCAAGGCATAATCCAACACCTCACATAGCATCAGTGCCATCTACTATGGCACCATCTCAGCACAGCAATACACATAATATAGAGATTTCACTTTCCTCCACATTCAGTTCACCATTTCTCAGTACCAGTCATTCTCCTGCTATGTTAACATCACAAATAACATTTTTTCATGAAAGATTTTCATCCGAATCTGAAGTTGACCTTGATATGGAGTTTTCTCCAGAAAACTTTCTCGACACAGATAAGTCTATTACTCTTCCAGATCACATTCTAAATATGGCAATCCCTGGGTACCTCCACCTATGCCAGACCCACACTGGTAATACTGGAATAACTGGCAACCTTGGCACAAACACCAGCATGGCCAGAAATGACATTTAGTGCAATATTTCCCTCCACCACACTCCCCACTTACAAAGCAAGCACAGGAAGGGGACCCACCCAGCCAACTTGCGGATGTAAGGTTGAGCCAAATGAACCCACCCCACCAGGGGAAGTGGCTGTGCCTTCAGTTCCAACAACCTCAGATGACTCTGCACATTTTCAAGACCTTTTTAAATGTGTGGCTGCTGAATTAAACAATCCCCTCCAGGAGGTCATCAAAACCCAACATGAATGAACATATTGCACTCAGTAAACAATCGAAAATAGCACTACTAATTAATCCTGCAATAATGGAACCTGCAAAGATGGTATGGCAAATGCCTCCATCAACCATTCCTACCTTTAAGAGAGCCAGGGCTCGACAATATATGTAATCTACTCGCCCGTGGCAAGTAGATTACATCCCAGAAGAGCCGGGTTCGGGCGATCTGCACATGCGCAGAATGCCGGACAGTGCAACTGGCGAGCCCTAAAGAGAGCAGATAGGAAAATATTACATTCCACCCAAGGACTCTGAGTTTCTTTTCACTTACCCAGGACCTAACTCTTTGGTGGTGGAAGCTACACGCCAGAAAAGCAAGCAGGCAATAATTTCGGTCTATCCCATCAAACCATGTTGGCAAGAGACTTGATTTATGCAGGCTCAAAGTTTGCACGTCTTCCACCTTACAATTTCGTATTTCCAAATATGCTGCTCTATTGAGTGAATATGTCTATAGAAACTACACCAAGCGCAATGATTTTATTGCAGATATTCCTGAGGCAAGAAGACAACAGTTCAAAGACCTGATAAGAGTCACAAGATTGCCAGAACAGCCTTGCAGACTGCATTAGATGCTGCTGATGCAGACTACATTAGATGGTGCTGATACAGCTGCACGATCTACAGCAACAGCAGTAGTGATGAGAAGGGCTTCATGGTTTAACACTACTCCTTTTCTTAGAGAAATCCAAGCTACGGTGGAGGATCTTCCGTTTGATGGCCAGAAACTGTTTGCAACCAATACCAATGAAATTCTTCACTCGGTGAAGGATTCCAGAGCAAAGCTCTGCTGTTTAGGGATCCTCAACTCGGCACCTAGAAAGAGACAATACAGGTATCAGCCCTACCCTAGGCCTTGATACCATCTGTACACTCAACATTACAACAGACAAGGCCAACATCAACAGAACAGGGGTAGAGTCAGAAACCAGTGACAACGCCCTCCTACCAACTCGTAACAGTCACAGCAAATTTTAACTTCAGGTTGAGGGTCGTGAGAACCACAAGAGATCAACTTCCTTGACACTACAATACAATTACATGACGGACACATTTTCACCACCTTATACCAGAAACTTTCTGACCACTACATTTACTTTCATGCTTGTAGTTTCCATCCCCTTCACATTTCTCAATCTATAGTTTACAGCCAAGCCCTAAGATGCAACTGGATTTGTTCCAATGCCACAGACAGAGACAAACACCTACAGGATCTATATAGAGCATTCTTAAAACTGAAATACCCACCCAGAGAAGTGAAAAAACAGATTGACAGAGCCAGAAGAGTACCCAGACATGAACTACTTCAAGACGGGCCAGGAAGAGAAAACAACAGAATTCCACTTGTCATCCTCTAGGGTGTGTCTAAACTACATGGCTCCATCAATGGAGCCATGTAGATTAGGCTGATCAGCAGAGGGAAATGAAGCTGCAATTTAAATAATCGCGGCTTCATTTAAATTTAAATGGCTGCTGCACTCTGCCGATCAGCTGTTTGTCGGCAGATCAGGGCAGTCTGGACGCGCCGCTGTCGACAAGGAAGTCTTTGTTGACTGGTGCAGGTAAACCTCGTTTCACGAGGCATGTAGTTTAGACACACCCTTATAGTCCAGAACTTAAACCCCTCCAATCCATTATCAACAATCTACAACCTATTGTGGAAAATGACCCCTCACTCTCACAGGCCTTGGGGGAAAGGCCTATTCTCGCTTACAGACAACCCCCTAACCTCAAATAAGTTCTTTGCAGTAATCATGCAACACACCTCCATCATAATCATCCAGGAATCCATCCGTGTGATCAGCCCTGGTGCCAACTCTGTCCACACAAGCGATTTCATCACTGGATCCAACAACATCAGCTGCTACATCAGGGGCTCCTTTAACTTCACATGTGATCTGTGCCAGCAATGCCCCACTGCCATGTATATTGGGCAAATTGGACAGTCTTTATGGGTTAGAATTAATGGACACAAATCAGATATCCAAAAAGGCAACACAGAGAAATCTGTTGGAGAACACTTTTACCTGCCCAGGTACTTGTTAATAGATCTCAGAGTCAGAGTGTTGTTTCAGGCCAATTCCACAAGCCAAATACACAGGGAAGGGTTGGAAGTTAACTTCATTTACAAGTTTGATTCCTATCAGGGAGGAATGAATAAAGTTATCGGCTGGTTCACATACTATCTTCCACATCCTAATGACTTAACCAACCAGTAGGCCAATGGATACTCATAGAGGTGAAATTATTCATATCAGCCTCTTGTAACTTGAATAATCCAATTCACTATTTTTTCTTTTCCCCCTCTTTCCATGCCTCCTCCGCCTTCCCTTATTTATTCTTGGATCTGGACTTTCAATACTCCAGTCATCTGAAGAAGTGGGTTATACCCATGAAAGCTCATATTACCATCTACATGTTTTGTTAATCTTTAAGGTGCTGGTAGACTATTCGTTGTTTAAGTTTTTCCAGTTACAGACTAACTCAGCTACCCCTCTGAACCTATTCCAACATTGCTTTTACAAGCTAAATTATATCACCGCTGTCTGCTATCATTCTTGACAAAACTAACAGCATATAATCTCTGACAGATGGGTCTTCCAGATAATTGAAAAAGGCTATCTTATTCCTTTCATGTCTCTACCCCATTTCCATCCCCCATCCCAGTCCTTCTTCAGGGAACACTCTCATGAGAATTGGCTTCAACAAGAACACCTTTTGCACATACGGGTAGTTGAACCTGCCCTGCACAATCTAGAGGGAAAGGTTTTTATTCGCATTTTTTCCTCATGGAAAAACGTTCCTGAGGTTGGAGACCCATCTTAGTCCTGCAACAAATTCGTTTAGAAACAGAAATTCAAGATGGTGATACTTAGACATTTTCTCTGATTTGTTGTAGGTTCACAACACTACCAATACAAAGTACTCCCCTTTGGACTTTCTGCGGCCCCGAGAGTCTTCTCAAAGATTCTGGTGGTCATCACAGCATACCAGAGGAAGCTAAACGTCATCATAGTCCCTTAGCTAGATGATTGCCTTTTGAAGGCACACACACACACAATGACTCCTGCCACTCGCTGTGAATCACAACATACCTATTCCAACAAATAAATGCAGCCAAATCAACACTCTCCCCCACAGAAAAGATTCAATTTATAGAAGCATGTCTCAGCTCAACAAGGGATACTGCATCCCTTCCTAAAGACCGTTTCCAAAAAATTGTGGCCTTGGTAAACACCTTACAATCCAGTCCCCAAGCAACAGCACACAAATGCCTTCAGCTTCTGGGGCACATGGCGGCATGCAATTTTGTTGCCAGCAATGCTTGCCTCCACATGAGATGTTTGCAGGGATGGCTGGGACAGATCTACAAACCTAATATCCACCTACTATCCAAATCCCTCATCCTCCCAGTCCTGGTAAAGAAATCCCTGCAACGGTGGACCAGTCCCCAGAATCTTTGTTCCAGAGTCCCTTTCCACCTATCTGAACCGTTTGTCTCCAGGATGACGGATGCATTTCTTACAGGATGCAGTGCTTATCTATGACATCACATGTCCCACAATAACCCGACATATCAACATCTTAAAACTAGATGCAGTCAGACACGTTTGTGTGATATTCCTTCCATTCGTTGTCAACAATCATGTGAGACTGTATATAGACAATACTGCAGCAATGTTTTATATGAATCATCAGGGCGAGGCCTGATCTTAACTACTTTGCACAGAAGCCATAGCACTTTGGAACTGGTGCCTCAAATATAGCATAAACATTACTGCGGTGCACCCTCTGGGCACCCTAAACACTACGGCAGATGCACTCGGCAGAGCTCTCCCTGCCTAGTACAAGTAGCAAATAAACCTGCACAGATTGTCACAAATCTTTCGACAGTGTGTTCACCCTATCATAGATCTATTTGCCACACAATCCAACAGAAAATGTCACCTATTCTGCTCCAGGGCAGTCATCGGGTCCATGGGAGATGCCTTCCTCATCAACTGGTCATGCCACTTCCTGTATGCGTTTCCTCCCCATCCTCCTGTTAAACAAGGTGGTCTAAAAGGCAAAGAGAGACAAAGCACACTGTGATGGACACCCGCCCCCCATGCTTTATGAAATGGACTTATGGACATGAATATACATAACTCAAAGGTGGTTTGAGCAAATTATTTAGTGTAACCCACTGTGCTTTTTTCCGGAAATACTTATAACGGAAAACTGTTCCGTTTTAAGCATTTCTGGAAAAGGGTGCCAGTGTAGCCATGGAGTGGGGAATAATTTGTGAGTTTCCAATGTGTGAATGGGAGACATGGAGGGGGTTACCTGCAACTTCTTGATGAGCCACTGTTAAACAATCTTTTGTCCTTAAATCTGAGCAGTGGTTGGTAGGGAGTGGTCTCACGGCCTTAACAAAAAGAATAGGAAAGCAGAAGCCTAGGTCTTTTGGTGGGGCTGCACCTGAAGGAAGGAGCCAAAGACCTCAGGGTCTGAGAAACAGCCCTGGTTTGGAGCTGAAGGTGGAAAAGAGGCTTTAGGGTGAATTTGAAGAGTTTATGCTTAGGTTTCAGTGTAGAATTAGCCAAGTGTTTTCATTTTTTGATTTGTAACCTACTTTGCTCTGCCTCTTCTTGCTTATTACTACTTAAATCCTACTGCTTCCACTTAATAAAATCATTTTTAATTTATATCAATCCCAGTGTAAATAATTGTTACCTGGGGGGGGCAACCAGTGTACACATTTCCCCTTTCATTGTTAAAGAGGGCTTACCTAATTCTTTGGGGTTTGATCTCATCTGGGCAGTGGTCTCTCAGAAGGCTGGGCCACTCTCCTTGGACCTGAAGTGGTGCAGTATCTGTACTGCTTCTCGGTGGGGGCAGAGACTTCAGCTCAGGGCCTTGGCTGGGGGTGACCAGCGGAGCTGGCCCAGCAGGACTGGGTGGTGAGGAGCCCCAGAGAGTGGGAAGGTGAGTGGCAGTGACTGTGTCAGCACCCCAGCAGGCACCCCCGAGGGGTCATCTGTGACTGCACCCTGTCACACACAACTAATTCTTATAGCTCCATCATGGCCATGTGAACCATAGTTTTCCTTTCTGATGAGGGTGTCCTGTGTGCCACCGATCCACTTACCATACAGCCACGATCTCCTTCCCCCAGGATCCCACGCCACCCAACTGAACCTTGACTCGCTACACCTAAAGGTGTTGCTCCTCCATGGTTCTGACTTGCTCACAGCAAGTACAAACAGTCCTCCTACACAGTAAGTCGCAGAGCACCCATAAGACTTACCTTCAAAAACGGAAAAGATTCACCACGTGGTGCGTTTGCCACCAGATGGCACCCTCAACATCTTTCTTACCTGCCATCCTCGATTAACTTCTGCACCTTAAACAAGCGGGCTTTTCAATAAGTTCCTTTAGAGTTCACCGTGCTGCTATTACTACCTTGCACCGTAAGATAGATGACTTGTTGATATTGGCGCACATCCACTCACTGAGAGGTTTTTAAAGGACCTTCAGACACTTTATCCTGATATCACCCCACCAACACAACCGTGGGACCTGCATCTCATACTGGATGCTTTAACCCGGCCACCCTTTGAACCAATGGCTACTACCTCTCTCCTGCACTTATCCAGAAAGACCACCTTTCTTGTAGCCATTGCCTTGGTGAGATGGGTGGGAGAGATCACAACCCTAGCTATGGGTCCCCCATACACAACCTTTTTTAAAGACAAGGTCACTTTACATTCCCACTCCAAATTCCTCCCTGTAAGAGCCCACCACGTCTCATGTTCCTCCATGGGCATTCCCCCACAGCTTGGGCCCTGGCTTTCCCCAGGGGCTACGGATGGTACTGAGAACCCTCACCAAACTGGGTGGTAGTTTCCACCTCTCCCTCCACACTTGCGTACAGCAAAGTGGTGCTGTGTGAGCATACGGGTCTCACAAGACAGTACCCTCTCCCCAGACCGGGCCGCACCCTGCTGAAGTGGGCGCCCCAGTCGATGGGCAGCCAGCCATAAAAGGAGTCCTCGGTAGCCAGATAACAATGTTGCGTGCCCTGCAGCAGCGCGCACAGACCGGGTAGGTCCCCTTTACAGCAGGTGCAGTGCAGGGTCAGGAGCTCCTTGCTTGAGAATCCTACCTCCGGGCCAACTCCCAGCTACATGGTGACTCCGAACACAGAGAATGAGATGAGGCGGGCAGCCAAGCCCCCGTGAGAGCCCCCTGCATCCCATGTTGCATGGGGGTGGCTGAGCTAGGGCCACGGTCCACCTCGGAGATGGCTGCAGACCACTAGTAGTCTATGAATCGCACTTTGAGAACAACTGGTCTAAACCTTTCTTATTTACTCTAGTTTTGACAGTTTTCCTCTGTATTTCTGTAGCTTCCAACTTGTGTTCAGCTCTCATTCAGTGACTCTTTTCTTATTGGAAATGGGCATTAGACAGCTCCCTGAAGGACTGTGGTTAGTGCCAAACTAATATATGCAGACTATAATATATACCAACAACAAAGTCACTGATTATGGGGCTACTGTTTACAGGCTTCAGAGGAATTAAGTCATTAATATTTGTGTCTTCACATCTTGCATGGAACACATTTTTAGAAGCTTAAAATCATTATTCATTCTTATTTCTTTATTACTTATTTGTATGATAGTATATAAAGTTTGAGGCCCGATTGTGCTAAGCACTGTGCAAACTGAATACAAGCCATCTTTGCCTGAACAGCTTACAATTTAAAAGACAAGGCAGAAAAAAAGATACAGATAAGCAATATATTATTTACATTCTTACCATTAAATATTTACCTGCTTATCTCTTCAAAGACATGAGCATCATTTTTTCCTTGAAGTATTCTGGTAGGCTCTCCAGTAGTTTCTACTACATCAGGATGCAGTTCTGTAGAAGGTATTCAAACCTTTTGATTTCAAAAGATTCAAGCTTTTTTAAAAAATGATGATGAAAGCAAGAGAGTCTGGGTGGGATTTTGTTGAATAATGGCTGAATTGCTACACATATATTCTTTTTCGAAATAAATAAAGGCAGACATCTCTTTGTCTCCATGACAACAAAAGCAGCCTCCTCACATACTGGTGAGAAAAGGGATAGACTTCTGTAGAAACAGGTTAGAACATACTTGTGATAATTTGTAACTTTCTATATCTGTCAGTTTGTATGGAATCTATTTAATGTTCTAGGTACTATAAACCAGCAAATACAAATATATAAGTACATATATATTAATGCACATTGACAATAAAAAAAAAACTTGATTTTTTTTTAATTGACAAGAACATCATTTTCTAAAACAGCATTCTTTAAATAATGCATCTGATTTTTAAAAAATGTTCAGCATTTTTAATAAATATTGTTCTTCTTTCGTGTGGATACTTAACTATTTTCAATAAGGGAGAAACTGACTTATCAGGAGAAATGATGACACTAATTGTACATAAAGTACTATCAGATGAACAGAGTAAACAGATTGGAAAAATACATATTTTTGGTCCCACCTCTGTTACAGTAATCCTGGGTATTACCTTGAGCTGTATTATGCACAAACTTTTCAGACAGAAATGTGATTTTGAAGTTTTGTCCTCTTTAAAAACAAACAGAACTTGCTTATGTCTGCTCAGTACTTGCTCTATAAAATAAAACCCTTGGATAATGATATTAGGAATTGTAATTTAGATTCTCTACCCTTCACCCATCAACCCAGCATTTAAGATGATCATACTGATTCTGTTTAAATGTTTTGGTGAAACACATGCTGAATTTGAACTTCAACCATTTATTTCAACACTTTGAGTCAAATGTTCTGCACTGTTAGCAATGCTGCTGATCCCACTGGATAAAAGAGAAGGATTCTGCAGTTGGATTTGTGATCTGTGGAGGTAAAACCTTACCTCAGCGGAAACAGTTTAGCTAAACCAAAACTTTAAGTTGGTAGGTACAGATGGAGCTCAAAACTGAAAATCTCAGTGAACACTGAAGGGAAGCAGAGAAAGTGAGACATCAAATCATTATGACAAAATTTGTAAGAGTAGGCACATGGAATGTATGAATTTTTTGTAGAATGGGAAAGCTGGCACAAGCTACACAAACTATAAAAAACCAAATAAACCACTTGAATATACTTGGGCTCTATGCATCGAGAAGGGCAGGGAATGACAAGATGCTGTCTGATGGTGAACAAAAGAAGTGTAGGAATTATGCTAGATGACATTTCAGCAAAGACCCCGTTGGCTTGAGAGCCAGTGAGCAGCAGAAAAACAGTCAATCTGCACACAAGCAATATCAAGTGTACAATAATTGTACCAACAAATTCAGCAAGTGACCCTGAAGTGTATACGTTCTTTGAGCAGGTACAGCTGGATGTCAGTGTTCCCTATAAGCTGACCGCTTGGGCAGCCACCCAAGAGAGACTGCAGTGCCACCCAGCTGGTTAGCAGAGTGCCTACAGTGCTCACAGCCAGCAGCATGGTGGTGCATATCTGCATATGGTTACGTGCACATAACAAAATTAATTCTACATGTGGTTGGAAAAAATTAGAGGGAATATTGGCTGATGTGCCTAAACATGCCATTTCGTGCACAGCAGTGGAAGGCACCTTTTTGATAATAGCAAACAGGTTTTGAGTCTCTGGCACAGAGCCTCTTAAATTAGGAGTCAGTCTTTTCCAGCATAAGAGAATTCACAAACTCACATGGAGATCACCAGAGAATGCAACTATCAATCAGGGCATGTGTCTATACTTCAGGAGTGAGTATCTTCTTTGAGGAATGACCGAGCCATTAGAAGAGCAAATGTTAGCTTTGGATCATTATCTTTTAGTGACCATAATAGAACATAAACTTTAAAAGATCATAAAGATGGACAAAAAGTGTTACAGCAATCGAGAATTTCAAGGACAAAGAAATACAGATCAGATTGCTTTTAGCAACAGTTCTGGTATTTTATAGGACCAGGCTGAGTAAAGTCTGGAAGACAGATGGACAAACTTGAAAACTTGTAGGTAAATCTGAGCCTCCAGAAAGGGTGGAAGAAAGATGCATGGATTACATCTGGAACCCGAACAACAATTAACAAACAGAAACTTATGAAGGCAAAAAAGGACAGAGCAAGAATCAGGCCTAACTTTTACATGCAGATTCAAGATG